CACACACATATATATATATATACATATATATATATATATATATATATACATACAGTATATATATACAGTATATGAAGAGTTTATTTTGCAGAAACAGATAACTCTGTTTTTAAAAATTTTCAAAAATCATGTTTTTTATTATGTTATCATGTTTTTATTGTGTTAGTTAGCAGCTTTTTAAAGTTATTTTTTAACCTAGTCAAAATAACCCAACTGCAGTTTGACTGAGATTAACTGGAATGCACAATGAAAAAACATTTTTGAGAATTGTTAAAAACAGAGTTATTTGTTTTTGCAAATGAACTCTTCATATATAAACAAACATATTTAAAAAATGATGCAAATGTCAGTTATTTGTTCAATTACATATATAATTTAAGAAAAAAAAATGTCAGTAGTTTTTGAAATATCGCATATAAAATGCTGTTTGTGAGCGATGATGCAAACTATATTATGACCAGTTTTTGATTGATTGTTATTAATGTGCTTTTTATAGAACGAGACTTAAAGACAAAATGTGTAGTGGACATGGAAGGAAATCAGACCATCCTGTACCCGGCCAATGGAAACCTGGGAAAGGGCGACAGCAGGTAAACTGGGGTGTGTTTGTGTGGGTGTGTGATTGTATTTGGCAAAAAGGACCAATCTTTATATCTGTCTTGACAAGCCTCAAACTACTGGGGTAATCAACTAGATCTGAAGAACACGTGTGCTGCTTGCCTTTGCAGAACAATGCTAGGGTGTTCTGAGGAGTTTCTAGTGGCTATTTATTGCTCACCAGGTGAAATCATGATGAGTCTGATCACAGAGTAAAGAAACAGAATCTCTATGCAGCAGATCATTCATCTGACTTCCTGTTTTAGTCTGATTCTCTCTCTCTCTCCCACTGACATTTTCTTTTTTTCTCTACATTCCTCTTCTCCTTTGACCTTCAGTGTCCATAGAAACGAGTGAAGGTTCATTGGCAGGTCAAAGGTAACCCTGGATACTCATGATTAAAAACCTAAGAAACTAAATTACTCATGTCGCATTGGGTCTTTTCAGGCAACCTAAAAACAAAGCTGCACGGATGTGTGCTGTCCTTTCGTTTACCAAGCACCACCACATAGCTTTACAAATCTGCTTTACTTCCTGTGAATAGTGAATACAAATACTGTAGGCATTTCAGAAAAGAAAACTTTGAATGTTCAACTGTCAAAGTTTTCACTCGCAGTTTACAATAAAAATATCTTGAAGTTTGAAAGTTATATGTTCATCGTGTGTTCCTTAGGAGTTGCTAAAACTTTCGGAGTGCTAGGTGGTTACTGGTATGGTTTCTGTAGTGTTGCTGTGTGTGTTTTTTAAGCTGTTCTGGCCTGGGTGGTTGCTAGGCAGATACTCAAGTGTTCTTGGTAGATTCTATGGCATTTTGTGGTTGTCAGGGTGTTCTGGGTGGTTGCTAGGTCGTTGCCAGGCAAATGTTAAGGTGTTCTGAGTGGTTTCAAGGGCAGTATGTGGTTTGTTAAGATGTTCTGGGCAGTTGCTAGGGTGTTGCTAAGGTTTTCTGAGTGGTTTCAAGGGCATTATGTGGTTTTTAAGGTGTTGTGGGTGGTTGCTAGGGTGTTGCTAAGAATTTCTGAGTGGTTTCTAGGGCATTATATTTCATTTTATTTATATATATATATATATATATAGTACAATATGTTCCAGGTAGTTGCTAGGGTGTTGCTAGGCCATTGCTTAGATTTTTGGAGTGGTTTCAAGGGCATTATGTGGTTGTCAGGGTGTTCTAGGTGGTTGCTAGGCTGTTGATAAGATTTTCAGGGTGGTTTCTAGGGCATTATGTGGTTGTTAAGGTATTCTGGGCAGTTGCTAGGGTGTTGCTAGGCCATTGATAAGTTTTTTGGAGTGGTTTCTAATAGAGGTCGACCGAAAGTGGATTTTGCCGATACCGATAGCTAGGTTGGACCACACTGGCCGATACCGATTAATTAACCGATAGTTTTTAAAATGGATACTGAACAAAAACTAAAATAATGCTTTATTAAAAAAACAGTACCGAACCGTAGTAGTAGTAGTAATAATAATAATAAAAATGTTGAAATTAACACACTCTAACAAGGAACAATACTTTCATTACACAGCTTTCATTAATCTTAATGTTACAAATGGACTCTTATTTTAAAGTGTTGCGCTCTGTGGCGCGGCAGGATTTTCTGTCGGCTGCATTTAAATCCGCGTCTGAAGTTTCCCGCTCTGTTCAGCATGCAGTATCACGTGTCTAAACAAATAGCACATGCTGTCAGTGATTTCAACCACTGGAGGCCGCTCTCGCACTGTATAATAACAGCAGACCCTTCTCAGCCGTTCCAGCAACGGACGCAACCCGGAAAACTATCGGCATGGATTTTTGCCGATAACCGATAGTTCCAGCAAAAAACTATCGGAGCCAATTAATCGGCAAAACCGATACATCGGTCGACCTCTAGTTTCTAAGGTATTATGTGGTTGTTAAGGTGTTTTTAGTGGTTAGGCAGTTGCTAAGATGTTCTTGGGTGGTTTGTAGGGCATTGTAGGGTTGAAGACCAAAGACGATATTTTGAAGAATGTGACTAGTTGACTTCAGTAGTATTTATTTCCACACTATGGAAGTCTATGGGCACCGTCAGCTGTGTGGCTACCAATACTCATACAGGTTTGGAACAACATAAAGGTTAGTAAATTCTGACATTTTTCTGTGCACTATTCCTTTCAGACTGGTCATGCATTAAAAACTGTGTAATCTTGATAATGCTGCTGCATTTACTTTGGATGGATGTAAACAATTTTACCTATTGATTGTGTATTTATAACATTATTCTTGTTATTTTGTACCTTTTTTAAACCAGATAACGGTTGTCTGGTGTTTTAATCCATGCATATGTTGCATGCTGTGGTTTTTAGCAGTTTACTCCATTAACACAAAGAGGAGTTTGTTGGTTGTGCAGCAGAGCCTTCATCAGTCAGCAGTGTTTCATATCTCAGTCACTGATCCAGCGGTTCGTCTGTCCTTCAGCTGAAATCAGCTGTCGGTTTTGCATTGGTCGTCTGTCAGCATGCACCAAACTGCACATGCAAGTTCGTAATATTAAAGACCAGCCGGTTGCCAACCAGTGCTGGAGGATTTTTATCTGTCTTTCCGTCATTCCTTCTCTTTGTCTCCTCTTCCATTCCTGCTCCTGGTCTCTTTACAAACGGTGTGCCTGTTTTCTCCACAAGCCTTTCCTCATGCAGGAGTCTCCTCGGTCGTATCCAGCTTTTCTCAGTTTCTCAGCGCTGATCTAGTCATGTTTCAGACCTCTGCCGTAACTTGCAGCGGTTTGCGGCGTTGGCGTGCAAACAGGTTTTACAGGCTTATGCAAGAAAGTTTACTCAAATTCCATAATAATCCTTCAAAGCAAGGTTGTGTTTTCATTATGAAGCACATGTAGAGACAGCACACTCATGCAGATGCTGTTTGTCATGTAAATGATATCAGGGTGGAATTTAATTAAAGAAAATGTGAGATGAAGGAGGTTCAGAGAGGATGGTTTAATTGTGTAATTCTCTCATAATGACTGAAATAAGGCCAACATTTCTGAAATCTTCCTGAAATGCTTCAAGACTGTGTGCCGTCCTCCCGCCAACAGCAGAAATCATGTTCAGCATTCGTTTGAAATAGAATCGAAATGATTTTACTTTCACTTTTGATTAATTTAATGGATCCTTGCTGAATAAAAGTATTCCTTTCATATATACTGTATATTCTAATATTGTGTTTTTATTGTTTTTCGTTCTTTCCTTTTGTGAACGCAGGAGCAAACCAAAGGTAAGTTCTCATATGACATTTCTGCAATACATTAATGTGAACAAATGCATTACAATCACTCTATCATGAATAATGTGCATGACAGAAAGTGTGTAACTTAACTGGATTTCGACAGCTCATTAAAACTTGTGACATGCATCTGTTACACAATCTTTAGACATCTGCAATATTTCGTTTTAGGTTTTCGCATATGATTATTGCTTCTGGTCTATGGATGAAGCTGAGGCAGCCAAATTTGCAGGTCTGTTGACATTCAAAATAATTCATTTTGCTATAATGACCAACCCTTTTGTTGAAACTATCACTAAGCCTCTGTAATGTGCTTATACTGCAGTGATCTGAATCATCAGGGATCATTTATGATGGCAATAGAAACTCTTATAGACATCAATATTCCCTGCTTGTGTTTCCTTGTGAACTTTTCTGAAGAAAAGACAAACCTGTAAAACTGCTTTATCAAATCAGCTGTTCATCTGTGGTTTATCAGCTCTTTTGTAAAGGTTCAAGCAGTTGCTGCATTTGTTCATTACCTTTTTTTTTATTATTATTTAGAATAATAATAAATAAAATCTCAGTTACAGTAACACACTTACAATGGAAATAAAAGGACATTGCACTTCAAGGCATTTGAAAAACTTAAATTGAATCTTTTAAAGGAATAGTTCACCTAAAAATTTAAATGTACTCACATTCAGGCCATTCAAGATGTAGATGAGTTTGTTTCTTCATCTGAACAGATTTGGAGAAATGTAGCATTCCATCACTTGTTCACCAATGGATGCTCTGCAGTGAATGGGTGCCGTCAGAATGAGAGTCCAAACAGCTGATAAAAACATCACAATAATCCACACCACTCCAGTCCATGTCTTGTGAAGTGAAAAGCTGCATGTTTATAAGAAAAAAAATCCATCGTTAAGACGTTTTTAATGTCAAACGTGTTGTTTCTTTCTAAAATAGTCTATAATCCATAGTAACGCCTTCTCCATTGAAAAAGTCCATCCCCTTGCTTAAAAATCCACCCACACATTTGTATAGATAAAAATGAGCATTAGCTGGAAATGTGCTCACCCTCAGTCCAAACAGCTGATAAAAACATCACAATAATCCACAAGTAACCAACATGACTCCAGTCCATCAGTTAATATCTTGTGAAGAGAAAAGCTGCATGTTTGTAAGAAACAAATCCATCGTTAGGACGTTTTTAATGTCAAACGTGTTGTTTCTTTCAAAAATAGTCCATAATCCATAGTAACGCTTTCTCCATTGAAAAAGTCCATCCCCTTGCTTAAAAATCCACCCACATATTTGTATAGATCTGTTTTGGACTGTTATTGCTTGTAAACGGTGCTTGATCTGTGCAGATTTCTCTCCTGATTCAGACCAGACGACTGGTGAAGGCAATGTTATAGATAAAGGACTTGTATTTTAGCCGAAAGCAATGGTTTGAAGTCAGAAATGCCTTAATGATGTAAACGGTTCTTACAAACACACAGCTTTTGGCTTCTCAAGACATTAATTGATGGACTGGAGTGGTGTGGATTACTTGTGGATTATTGTGATGTTTTTATCAGCTGTTTGGACTCTCATTCTGACGGCACCCATTCACTGCAGAGCATCCATTGCTGAGACACTGATGCAATGCTACATTTCTCCAAATCTGATGAAGAAACAAACTCATCTACATCTTGGATGGCCTGAGGGTGAGTTCATTTTAATTTCAGAAGTTTTCCTGTATTTTGAATTGATTTTATAATGCATGCCAGTTATTCTCATTTGCAGTGTTCTCATGTGTAACTCATAGGTCAGGATGTGGTGTTTCAGTGTCTTGGAGAGAGTCTTTTGGACAGCGCTTTCCAAGGATACAACGCCTGTATATTTGCATATGGGCAAACAGGTACAGTTAGATTTGCTGGAAAGCTATCTATGCGAAAATTCTATTTTAGTCTCCATGAAAGGTTTAAGCAGAACTACTTACTGTTTCCCAGCACATAACTCACTCTTGGATATCTGCTTGTTGTGCATCAAACAAAACGCTAAAGCAAATAAAAACAAATGTAACCCTGTAAAGCTTTGCATAGGAAATAATAGTAAGAAAAACGTTGTTTTTAACCTTTAGACAAAATATTTAAAAATTCTAAAAAGAGAAGTTTGCATATATCATATAATATTATATATAGTGAGAATATGGAGTTTACACTCAAGGAGGAAAAGACTCCTTACTTTTATTCAGATAACATGCAAGTGCTGATATTTGTATGCCAAAATTAAGATGAAATTCTGATGGTAATGTAAATCAATGTGATCTTTATAACACTTTATCAGACTACTTACAAAAAATGCATATAAAAATCAGTTGTCACTCTATATCTCCAATAATATGTCTTAGTTAGATGATATTTAAATGCTTAGTTTTGTGATCAAAGCTCTGTAGTTTCAAAAACATAATGCAATGCAATACAATGATGATTGAGAAATGAACAAATCATTCCTTAAAAGAAGAGATTTGAGACGTTTTCAAGGCTTGGGAAGATCCTTCCTCCACTGAGGAACAGTGAAAGTAAAGCTTCTGGAAACAAACGTTCTTCAAAAACCTCAGATTTGAGACTCACATTTTAATATGAAAATTCATTTATTGAATTTAAATGATAAAAATTAATGTATGGATAATCAAGTAAATTTAAGTTGCTTCAGTCCGTTCTGCAACGTTTTGATCGTGTTTATCATTTAGAGGCATTTGCATATCAGTAGGCTATAAGGGTTTAAACGAAAATCTGATCTCTGATTGGTTCACGCTTTATCTGGATGGTCTGCAGGCTCAGGAAAGTCGTACACGATGATGGGAGCGGCCGAGCAGCCGGGTCTGATCCCGCGACTCTGCAGTTCTCTGTTCCAGCGCAGCGTACAGGAGCAGAGGGAGGGCGAGAGCTTCACCGTGGAGGTGTCCTACATGGAGATCTACAACGAGAAGGTGCGAGACCTTCTGGATCCCAAAGGGTGAGTCCGTAGATCTGCTTACATATAGATCGTTTTCCAATTAAAGCCCATATTCGATTGTCTGTGTTCCATCAGTCATGAAAAACCTGGAAAAATCACTCATTGTTGTTCTTCTAAACGAATTGGCGTGATGTTCCTCTCAGGAGCCGGCAGGCGTTGAGGGTCCGGGAGCATAAGGTGTTGGGGCCGTATGTAGACGGTCTGTCCCGCCTCGCTGTGACCAGCTACAAGGTTCTTCCGACACCTTCACCTACGTTAACGCTCTCAATGCTGAAGCGGGAAGATTTTGATCAGCTTTGGTTTTGTATGTCAGGACATCGAGTCTCTGATGTCGGAGGGGAATAAATCCCGCACTGTGGCGGCCACAAACATGAACGAGGAGAGCAGCCGCTCGCACGCTGTCTTCAACATCATTCTGACACACACGCTCCGAGACCTGAAGACTGGGGTGAGATGCAGACTGACCTCTCCCTCATCTATTTAAAATAACTAGCTATTTATGTTTTCAGGAGAGCATGCAAATGGTGTTTACCAGTGCGAAAATGACTAGCACAATACTAGTGTTTTTTGGCACTGAGCATCACATTTTCAAAAAATGTCAAATTAAACGTATGGATTTTTTGTTGTCGTTCAGTTTGGTGCAACTAGTGATATTGTGTGGATGGTGTTATTTCAGACGAGTGGAGAGAAGGTGAGTAAACTCAGTCTGGTGGATCTGGCCGGCAGTGAGAGAGCTGATAAAACTGGAGCTGGAGGAGAAAGACTCAAAGAAGGCAGCAACATTAACAGGTCAAACACACACGTTTGTTTATATCTTGTTGGGGATTTTTTACTTTGTTGTTCCTAAAGTAATTAATTTGATTAATCGGCTGATATGTCGCCATTTTGACACTTTATGCATTGGTAAATTAAAAGAAGTGATTTGATTTTTGTAAAAATGTGAAGGAAGAATTTGTTTAAATAATTTTTAATGAATTAATTTTAAATATTAATTCATTATTTTCTCATATTTACAAAAGTTAATTAATTTAAATAATTGGCTGATATTTGGCTGTTTTTTCTTTGACACTCTCTATTTTTTGTGAAGAATTTGTGAATAAGTATTTATTTAAACTATTTTTAGTTAATTTATTTATTTTAATTATTTATTGGAATAATTAATTGCTTTCTCAGTCATTTTTTGACTTATTCATTTGTCTATAATTTTTTTCTAATACATTTTTGGTCCCATCATATTGATATAAGGTTGATTAAATTGAGCAATTTTTAATTTATTTCTATCAATCATTTAATCGTTTAATTTAATAAATGTATTTATTTTGTATTTTATTTCTTTATTTGGTTTCACACCAACACTCCATCATTTACACACATTCAGATGTGTTCTTGTCATAATGTTTTTGTGTTCAGGTCCCTCACAACTCTTGGACTGGTGATTTCAGCCTTGGCGGAGCAGGGCGCAGGAAAAAACAAGAGTAAATTTGTTCCGTACAGAGACTCCGTGCTCACGTGGTTATTGAAGGTGATGATTAATTTTATTTTTGTACTTTTAAGAATCTGGTAGTCTTCAAGGAGTAGTTTGGTCCAAAATGAAAAATTTGTCATTATTTCCTCAGTCATGACATTCAGTGCCTGTATGCTGTTATTTTAGCTGTAAAACACAAAATGAGATTGTTTTTAAAGAATCTTTATGCAGCTTTTTTCAAATGCAATGTTCAAATTGGCTGTCACCATTAAAGTGCCCCTATTATGGGTAATGAAAGGTTCATATTTTGGTTTTGGGAGTCCCCAACAACAGGTTGACATGCATGTAAGGTCAAAAAACACTTTCATTGTCTTATAATATGCATTTATTTTTACCTTACTTGCTCAACGACTCCCAAACGATTCGCTCATTATGGGTTATGAAAGGTTCATATTTTGGTTTTGGGAGTGTCCAACAACAGGTTGACATGCATGCAATGTCAAAAAACACTTTCGTTGTCTTATAATATGCATTTATTTTTTAACTTACTTGCTCAACGACTCCGAAACGATTCGTTTAACGATTCATGTTTCCAAACCCCTTCTTTGCGTGACGCTAATCTGCGGTGATTGGTCCGATTGGTCTCATTTTCATTTAATCTCGCCTGTAATGCCTAAAGCAGTGTTTGTGAGCGCAGTGCTGCTTTGTGTACAGCGTTACCGGGGAAACCGCTATTTTATCGCTCCAAAAGCGGCACCTAGTGGCAAAGAATGAATTTGCATTTTCATTCAACCAACTGGAAAAGATCAACAAGTGGGTGGGCAATATGCTAATGTTTCATGTTGACTTCAACATGAAGCGGCTTGTGATTCGTTTTAAAAACGACTCGTTTCAATGATTCAGAGTCGACTCTTTCTTTTGAGAGACAATAACTTTATACACGGTGCACTTTCAGATTTAGAACTTTGCAGGATGTTTTCATTCAATTAGAGCTGTTACACACGGCATGAAAGGTCATTTTCAAAAATCCATAATAGGGGCACTTTAAATCTCAAAAAGCAGGTTCATATGAGTTGTTATTTGCTAAGAATTCTATGGAAATGATGCCATAGGTTTGGCTTTGTTTCACTGAAACTCTCTGATGTACTTTCCTCTTTTTTTGCACATCAGGACAGTTTAGGAGGCAACAGTCGCACCGCTATGGTTGCAACGGTGAGTCCAGCGGCCGACAACTACGACGAGACTCTGTCTACACTACGGTACGCCGACCGGGCCAAAAGCATCGTTAATCACGCCGTGATTAACGAAGATCCAAACGCCAGAATCATCAGAGAGCTGAGAGAGGAGGTGGAGAAACTCCGCAGCCAGCTGACCGAGGCTGAGGTACTGCACACAAACACCTGCCTGCTGTGTGACCTCCAGCAACAGCGTTCATCAGTGTGTTTTCTGTGTGTGTGTGTGTGTGTAAAGTCAATGAAAGCTCCTGAGCTCAAAGAGAGACTGGAGGAGTCAGAGAAGCTGATCCAGGAGATGACTGTGAGCTGGGAGGAGAAACTGAGGAAGACTGAGGAGATCGCACAGGTATTAAACACACACACACGTGCATATATATCAAGATTTTTTTATTGTATATAGATATTTATTTTTTGTGAATTGAGTAAATATTAAGCATAATTTTAATTATTAAACAAACTTTTAATTATTTAATTACATGATTATTTGCCCCTTTCACATTTATATATTTATTTATTTATTAATTTTTATTTAATGCTTTTTATAATAATTTTTTGATCCCTTCATATTTACATAAATGTACATATTTTCATACAAGATTAATTGCCTGATGTTTGGCCATTTTGACACTACCTGCATTGGTAGATTGTGATTTAGGTAGATTATGTAAAATAAGCATTTATTGAAATAATTTTAAATTAATTATTAATTTATTGTAATTATTTATTTAAGTGATTTAATTGCCTTTTTTGACAACTTTTATTTGTGACCCTGGAGCACAAAAGCAGTCTTAAGTCGCTGGGGTATATTTATAGCAATAGCCAAAAAAACATTGTATAGGTCAAAATTATAGATTTTTCTTTTATGCCAAAAATCATTAGGATATTAAGTAAAGATCATATTCCATGAAGATATTTTGTAAATTTCTTACCGTAAATATATCAAAACTAAATTTTTGATTAGTAATATGCATTGCTAAGAACTTCATTTGGACAACTTTAAAGGCGATTTTCTCAGTATTTAGAGTTTTTGTTCCCTCAGATTCCAGATTTTTAAGTAATTGTCCGATCCTAACAAATCATACATCAATGGAAAGCTTATTTATTCAGCTTTCAGATGGTGTATAAATCTCAATTTAAAAAAATTGACCCTTATGACTGGTTTTGTGGTCCAGGGTCACATTTTATTGATTTTTAATAAATTTTTGTCTAATACATTTTTGTCCCATCATGTTTTATATATATAAAATTCTTTTTTTTTTTTTGGGTGGGGATCAACCTTGTGGTACTCGTAATGAAAACATGATGGGACAAAAATAAAACTGGAGTACAAAATACTATTTCAGTGCATAATTGTTTTAATTGTGGGCATGTCACCACATGGAGTTTTGTCAGGATCTTCTGCATTTAAAGAAATGATAAAACCCCTGAGGACAGTCAACAAAACACAGAAGTGTGGTTGACATTCCTCTGAACTGAAGTGTGTTTGGCTCTTCAGGAGCGACAGAAGCAGCTGGAGAGTTTGGGAATTTCTCTGCAGTCGTCTGGGATCAGAGTCATTGATGATAAATGCTTCCTGGTCAACCTGAACGCAGACCCCGCCCTCAACGAGCTGCTCGTCTATTACTTAAAGGTACAGACACTAATTAATAAAGATCAGTGTTACGTCTCTGCTTGAATATTTCATATAAAACTATTCGTATGCATGCATAAATGGTTGATTGACTATCAGCTGTTTTTTATTTTTTTATTTTTTATTTTTGAAAGCGGCATGTTTTGGTGGAGTTGGCGTGGATGAGGTGTTGTGTTTTCATTGACGTGTGTGTGTGTTGATGTGCAGGAACACACTCGTGTGGGTTCTGCAGACTCTCAGGACATTCAGTTGTGCGGTTTGGCAATTCAACCGGAGCATTGTGTTATAGACATCAAACTAGAGACGGGAGTCACGCTCAGCCCGAAGAGAAA